TAGCATTAAGTTAAAAAGGAAAAATAACAATCATAACATAATTAAGTGTAATTCAAGAGTTATCAAAGCGCGCATAATACAATAGAGTAAAAAAAAAATAGTTGGCATAACATCGACAACTTAGTGATTATAAATTAAAAAATTATGATAAAATTATTCTCTATAAAATTTTTTATGTTATATTATAGCTAGTAATGCTCCTTTATTAGATATATGTTAGCCACAAAAACATCAAATTTAGAATCACATTAAAGTTAATTTGCTTAAAATATAATACTCCTCATAAATGAGCACAAGGTATATATATAAGATAGTGAATGCATAAACTCTAAGGGTAATCAACATTCAAAACATTCTTATCATGCAAGACATGATAATGAATTGGTTTCCTTAGGACGACAAAATTATTACTAAGAGACCAATCTTTGCATTGATCTTCAACATCTCTTAACATAATAATAAATTACTAATAATTGTTTCCATCACACCCTCAATTCCATATAAGACCTGAGCATATTATAGTAGATGCATGCATAGATAATATAATAGCTCAATTAGTTAAATCTAAAAGACATAACAGACATAATAATATAATTTAGACAATGCAAACCTTGTTTAAATATTGATTAAATATGTTTTTAACCATTATTGAAACTTTGTTGAACCTAATAGGATTTGAATCTTGATCAAAATTTATTCCAATATTCTTTAAATAGTATTTAAAAATGCTTACAACATTCCAACGACGTTGATCAATGTTTAAACTTACTTTGAATAATATTTGGTGAATTTATAATCTTGGTTGAAGTAAAGTTTAATCAACTTTCTAAATCATTAGCTTGATATAATGTGATCTAAAACCCTAGGGGCTCTAGTTTGAGAGTAAAAATAAGATTCAATTAATGTTGGTATAAGTTTCTATTAATGTTTGATGCATACAATATATGTTTAACGTCATGTCAGGTTTTATTTTAATTTCGTACTTGAACGATATTCTTAAAATAAACTAATCAAGTATATAAAATCAATAATCCATATCAACTAGTTAGAGATGAAGGTAGAAAAAGTGTTGAGAAGTGAAATTTTTGGATAATTTTTTGGTTTATATACTTGTTTGAGAGTCCATTTAAATTGCTAAATTGCAATGATATTTTAGGCTTAACAAACATTGGAGCATATTTCCTTAAAAAAAAAAAAATAGACACATTTCTCTAATTTCTACAAGAGACAGAAAAAGTGCTTAGGTGAGAACAGTTCGAGAAATATAATTAATCTTTTCAAAAAAATTGATTTAAATATATAATATGGATATTACTTACATTCCACACAATTCATAAATATTTACATATATTGCACCTAAACTTTCATGTTCACATTGATGTCACTCAAATCTTTGACATTACATGAGAATATCATTATTTTTACATTTTTAAAGGTGATATACACCTTTCCAAGCATGACTTTTAACACCAAAATGTTATTAATATTGTTGAATGTTGGAAGATTCACGACATTTTTTATCTGCAATCATGAAAAAAAAGAAAAATTGTAATATATTACCATTGGAAAAGATGAAAACTTAATTTTGATCTCTCAAACATTTCATAGGAACATTTTTTTTTCACTCTCTCTTTTCCTTTAGTTAAGAACACCAAGAAATGCCGCTTAACGTTTCTAAAGAATTATTGCTTCATGTTTGAGATTGAACATTGATGTATATTAATTTATTTATCATCTCGTCATTAAAAATATATATATTCAATTAGATTTAACAATTTAAGTAGCATTTATATTATTATCTACTTTACTATTATATGTTGGTGACCCATTCCTCTAATTAATTCTAAAGAAACACAGTATCTTCAAAGAATATTTCCTTAAGCATCTTTCTACTGACCATCTCAACTATCAGATGACCATCAACTCCACACAACTTCTGCTGAATTTTCAAATTTAATAGAAGGCTTCTTTTGTATAATATATAAGAAATTACAAAATACCCAAAACATTAAAAAAGTACCACCACTTACCACTATATATTTACACAAATTATCCAAAGCACATTTATCCATACATAATTGTAAACATTCACAACTTTTATTATGTTACTATTCTTCTTTCATATCTTCGAGTCCTACAAAGACAAAATTATATGTTATGCATACAACTAGATTCTATTGTAAAGTGTTGACTTAAATTTGAATTAGTATAGATTAAGTATAGGATTTGTATTAGGTTTTTGGTTGGTTGATTTGTATATTGATTTAAGCTGGATTTGAATGGTAGATTTGAGGTTGCATTTGAAATGGTTTTAGGGTTAGAGTTATTTTAGATTTAGGCAGAGTCTGAATGTGTGTTTATATGATTTTTAATAGTTAAATTGAATGGGATATTGTTGAGTTGTCCATTTGAGTGAGGAATTCTTTAATGTAAGTTTTTTGGAGTTGATTATGTGATATAGGTTTAAAATGGAAGTTTGATTTCATGGTTGGTTTGTGTAAGTTTGATATATGCTGAAGATTTTTTAAACATTAACTGGTATGATGTATCATGTAAGTTTATGTTGGACTTCGGTTTGAATAGGATTGGAGATAGATTATAATTATTTTTATTTTTCGATTCACTATAGGCATTATAGTGTTGGATTGATCTCAATTGATTTATGATTTTACATTGGATTTGAAATAAACTGAAGTGTTTTAAATTTATTGAATTTTAGATTTTATTAAATAGATTTGATGTTATTTAACGATATGATTATTTCCCATTTAAGTGAATTTTAAGTATTGTTTTGATTTATTTTGTTTTAAATTTGAGTTTAGGTTTGATTTATGTTTTATTTTAAGTTTGATTTATTTATGTATCGATTTGTTCATACTGATTTCAAATTTATTGATCGTAAGTTTTATGTTTGAATTTGAATTTAGTGGGTTTGACTTCGATTTAGTTAAATTTGATTTTCATTAGATTTTAGTTTCCCTTAAAATTAGCTCAATCATGATTAAAAATGAACATCAAATCTAATGTGCTCTCTTTTAAACAAAAGAATGAACTATAGAAGTGGTTCGAGATAATTAGGTGGGTTCTATAGGGTCGCTCCTAAGTTGAATAAGCCTGAAGGGTAACTCTAACCAATATAGTCCATGGGGTGAACCAAGGGCCCAAAGATGCCTAAGTTGTGGAGTCAATAATCTAGTTTTAATGAGTCATTTAAAGGCATGTACAAAATATTATTGGGTACTCAACCCTTAGCTTAAATAACTCAACCATAATCTACTCAACATAAGACCTGTGTTAAGAATTAAAGTCAAGTATATTTCAAACCAAAAACATTAAAGATTTGATTTTTATTTTAATTTTGAGTCTCAACCATCCACTAGTCCTCTAAGGCAGTGTCTAAGAAATTCCTAAGGCTAGTTCCTAGGTTCTAAGAAAGAATTGAGAAGGACAGATAGACAACACCAAAAATGAGATCAACAGATATGTAAATACAAAAGAATTAAATGACATGTATGTATTTTTTTTATGTTTAAACTAAGTGTCTTCGTTGATGGTTGAAAAATTTTGGGTAGTTCTAATACAAAATTGTAACAAAGAAGTTCTTAGTATGATTAGTCTCAGTTGTAATTTTTTATTTTCAGCACTTTATTCTTTTTGTGCAATAATACACAACTTAAGAAGCTTCCAATCAAGGCTTAATTGCATCCTAAGCACCAAATGGTATCATAGAACAATTTTGCTCTAGTCCATAGACCATCTTATTTGGAGTAGTTGCAGATGTTGGAATAATAACTTTAGAATAATTGCAAGTAAAATTGATTTTTGCAAGACTGCTCCGAGCATCTTACATTTTTTTTTATATAATTCGGGGGATAATTCTTATGCATGTATACATCTAACACCACAACCTCCATATTTACGTGCAAAACACTCGAATCTTTAACATCAAATCAATAATACATTATTACCATCTTTTTAAACGAAAAATATATCTTTTCTTGCATAGGTTTATGACACCAAGGTGTTATAAGTGGGAATTCAAACTTTTGGTGTTACATATGTAAATACATAAAACTTGTGGTATATATATGTAAACTTTTTTTTGTTTTCATTAATAAAATCAGGCAACTCTGTTACAACTAACATATTCAAAACATCTCACTCATAAATTTATAAGCAATAGCAAAACATTGTCAGACCCCGTTTAGGGTAGCTTATTTGGTGCGGTGCATTTTGAAAATGCACCTAGGACTTTTTGGGTTAACTACGTTTTGGCAGCTTATTCAGAAATCTGTGTTTTCAAACCGCCGAAATCAATGTTTTCTCACTGTTCTTGGCTATATGTGTTGGTTGCTTTCTAACTGCGGAATGACTTTTCCAAAAAAAGCAGCCGCAGCTACCACAACTTATTGAAAAATAGATTATTTTTCAACAGCTTATTAATAAGTTGCAGCTGCCCCAAACAAACCATTAGTCAAATAAAAATATGATAGTTATAGTTTGATTGAGAAGCACATACATGAAAAACTACCTCAAATATACCATCATTGGTACCTTTGGCTCACAACAATGACTCTTGTTCGCTCATTTGCTCTTTAAACATTGGAGAATTAACGGTGGAGGCGATGGCCCAATGTTTGGCAAAAATGAGTTTTTCACCAATCGCAAAATCGAGCCCTCAAATGAACAAAAAAGAAATAATGCATTTACATACATGCCGCACAGTTCATGCATATCTATATATCCAACACCCAAACATCCATATTTACATGTATACTAATCAAAACTTTAACATCACAACAAAAAATATCACCATCATTAATTTTTAAAAAGTGATACACCTTTCCATGCATAATGTTATGACATAAAGGTGTTTAGTATAAATATCAAAATTTGGTTCTAGATTATGTAAATACAAAAGAATTATACAGTCTGTATGTAAATTTTCTAAAATAAAAATAGAGAATAAGAAAAGTACATGTCATAATGAACGTCCCTAAATCAATTTATCATTTCATTAAATTAGCTCCAATTCAAATTTCAGAATTCTAATCTATGAACACTTTGACATAAATCAACCAATCTACAATTCACTTTTAGATGAGTTGCCATATCAAAATGGCTCGCATAAAAACATCATCTTTTTCATCATCAAACATAGTATACCATTCCTACTTTAAGCAACAAAGAGTGAGGAACACTCAACTGAACATCAGGAGCTCTGCAATTCTTGCTAAGAAAAGCATAAACAACATCTATGGTGAATTTCTTCATCAAGGAAGATGAACTCTTTGCCTTTGCATAAGAGTGTCCACTAATATAAACCACACCACATTCCTTCTCCTTGAGAATCTCCACAGATTCTTCACTTCTTATCGAAACAGGCGGCGGCGGCGGCGAAAGTGGAAGCTCTGCATTCTCTTCTGATCTCAGACTTTCTTCCAACTCCACAAAGGAGACAACTTTAGACACAAGCTGGCTCTCAAATTCATAGCTTTCTAGTCGCAAATCTTTGTACCCATACCTCAGAACACATCTGAACATTCGATGCTCCTTCGTCCCAACCCGGCCGACAAGGAATCTCTCACTCTCAGGGATGAAGGGAACTTGAACTGATTTGATGCACACAAAGATCAGAACTTGATGAAAAGCTGGAAGGCTCATTGCAAACTGTCCAAAAACAGCCGGAATACCGGCCAACACGTCGGAATAAACCAGGCCAATGCCGGGAACTCGAACAATCCCGAGCTTAGGAGCCAAAGCCAATATTCTCTGAACCGAAACCTTGTTCTGTAAATCAAATTCATGCTTCAGCAGTGTTCCATAGTTCCAGATGTACATCACAGACATGAAGATTATAGAGAGTGTGAGAGGTATCCAGCCCCCTTCAGGAATTTTGACAAAGGAGGAAGAGAGGTATATGAGCTCTATAGAGCCAAAGAATATGAGGAAAATAATGGCTGAAATAATCTTTTTCTTCCAGACAATTATTATCACCAAGGACATAAGCCAGGTGGTGACAAAGATCACGACTGTGACGGCAAGCCCTGAAAGGAAAAGAGGCACTTAGAGAATGAGAAAAGTGTTAAAATAGTCTTCTGACTCTTTATAGGAGGTAATTTTAGTCCCGGAGATTATAAAAATGCTAAAGAAGTGCCCCGAACTCTTTTAGGCGGTGTTTGACTACGACTCAGATTTACTTTAAATAGGATTTATCAAATCTGATATATCTGAATTTACAAAAATCAGGGTGCGCTGGAAGAGCACACAAGCGATGACGGAATAAATCCGTCTCGCAATCAGATTCACTAAATCCGGATTTACATCGTAAAAGAGACGGAAAGCGCGAAAATTCAATTTAACGGAGTGTTGGATTTTTTTTATTTTTAATTTTTTTATTTTTATATGTTTGTCTGGATTTAAGTTAAATTCATGGCTAAATTCTGTTAATAGCATGATATCAAACACCGCCTTAGTATAAGTTGAAATAGTTTACAAGGAAGTTTGTTTCAACCCCTACTAAAAGAGTTTGGGACTAAATTGACAATTTTATGAACTTCGAGACGAGCATGACCTTGTTGTAAAGAGTCAGTGGACTATTTTAGCGGCTTTCTCGAGAACAACTTGTGTCTCATTTTCGGAAATGAGAAGAAAAGGTTAAGTTGTGAATGATATACCATATGCATGTCCAATCATATTTGTATTTTTTAGTCCAATTGTTACAGCCAAACAAAGGCACATTAGAATCCAGTTGACCTCTGGGATGTAAATTTGGCCATATATGTGGTTTGAAGTGTGAATAATTTTCACAAGAGGAAAGCAATTCAAAGCACAGCACTGGCTTACAATAGAGAATGTTGCAGAAATCACTGCTTGGCTTCCAACTACTGCAGCACATGTTGCTACTATGAAAACAGGCCAAAATACACTTTCTGCATATAAAAATTAGATTTTATAATGTAGCCCAGTAATAAAAAGGAGGAGCAAAGTGTCAAAATAGTCCCTTGCATTTTATTTTGACATTTTAGCCCTCAAGTCTATAAAAATGTCAAATTAATCCCCACACACTATAATAAGGGCTGAAATGAGGTCATTTAAATGGGCACTTTTATAATATTTGAGATTAGAATGGCCCCAAGCAAAGAATCAAGGGACTATTTTGACACTTTTCACTTAAAAAAACAGAGAGAAAAAAGAATTTGCGAAAATATCCTGCCTGGAATAGCTTTATAGAAGCTTCTTTGGATGTCATCATGGTGCTTCGAAAGAAAGGCAGCCTCACCCATATAAGCAAGAATGAGGCAAGGATAGACCAGAAAGGTGAAAGCAATCTGTCATTATATGCTTGATGTGAGAATTTATATAAAAAGTCAAACTTGTTAAAAGGAAAATTTACATACATTCCACTCAATTCCCATGTCTTTACACATCTAACACCTTAAGTTCAATGTTTACGTACATGTCACCTTAATTATGAATGAAAATGTGTATTTCACTTTTTAAAAGTTAAAATGCTGGTTTTTTTATGTGATATGAAAGATTTGGGAGGTATAAATGTAAAAGTAGAATTTAGGTGTGAGATATGTAGAGAAATAGGAATTGAGAGGTATGTATGTAAACGCCCATTGTTAAAAAAAAGTAAATGGTAGAAAACTATGTTACCTTAATTGAAATTGGAGAGAAATGACCCAAATTAGCAAACATGGTCTCTGCACCTGAATAATCAATATAAGAATATTTCTTTAAAAAATTATGGAATCTGAATACAGTGGTAAGGAGTGTAAAATAAACTAAAAACATGTTTCGAAATGAAATGAAGCTTACTAGATTCCACATATGGTAGGATGAACATAGATATTAACATTAGTTTCACTTCACTTACCTTTTCAATAACCCTCAACTTTAATGTACATTTTCACAAATAAAATGAAAAATCAGAGTGCACAACTAAATAATTTGCAAACCACACAATTTTTATGTATTTTGCATATATAAAACCCAAAGTTCGATTTTTACACTTATGACATCTTGGTGTCATAAATCTATGCATGAAAATGTTTATTTCACTTTTAAAAAGATAGTAATTGTGGTATTTTTTATGTCATTTTAAGGATTTCAATGGTATTTCATGTAAATATGAATGTTTAAGTGTTAGATATATGAATATATAAGAATTGTGTGGTGTCTATGTAAATGCCCCATTATTTCGGCAAATGAATGGAATAAAATCATTATCTTCTACAAGGAACAAAATGAGCCCTTAGGAAGAACACAAAAAGGCACCTGTGATACACAGAACCACACCACTCAAAGACACCCAACCTTCCACCCCAGTGCTTCTGAGAAATTTGCACATGTACCCTGGTGAGATCGCACGGAAGATGCTTGGATTCCATTTAAATATGTTATATATACCAATGCCACTAATGCAAAAAAGCCAAGCAATTACGATTGGAGCAAACATGAAACCGACTCGATGTGTTCCGTAGCGTTGGAGCGAGAAAAGCACCACCAAGATCAAACACGATAATGCCACAACATAATCTGAAAAAATTAACAAATTAGAGTGATTGTCCATGAAAATGGGTATTTTAAATGCTTGTACTAAATTAAAAGGAAAAAGTTTCAAGAAAGTGTATTCAAATTGACTTACTTTCATGAAGATTAGTTATCTTCACTCTAACTCCAGAAACAGCAGAGAGAACTGAATCATTCATGCAAAACAAAAGTGTTATAAAAGTAAATATGGAAGTTTCGGCGTTAGATATGTAAATAAATAAGAATTGTGTGGCATGCATGTAAATTTCTCTTTATTAAAATTTCAAAATTCTCCATGATATGTTAAATTTTTTCGATTGCAAGATTTTGTTTTATTTTTTGCATGTCAATATCATAAATAAGCAAGATTTGAGGATTTACATGCAATTTTCCCTCTTTAGAATTTATAAAACAATTCTAAGAAGTTATCAATAAAGTTTAGGTGACAATGGTAAATACAATATACTATTGAGAATTTGATAAAAATGAAAAATATGGGTTGGGGTTTTACCATTAATTTTAATAGTGATAATTTGAAAAATGGATGAAAGAAGGTAGTTGATTTGTAAATAGCAAGTTTCAGGTGATATGTATGTAATTGCCCCCAAAAAATATTGTTATAGAGACACAAAATATAGAATTGTTTAGCATAAACCTCATCAATCAAGTGGGATTCATGCGTAGATCATATTTTCAATACCCAAAAAAAAAAAAAGTAAATGAAGAATTAATCACCTGAGATGGTAGGAGTGAGCACCCCATCACCAATAGCCATACAAGTTCCAAGCAAAACAACAATTAGAAGCCCATTTTTGAATCTAGGGTGCCTATTGAAAAAATCATTAAGCATAGCACTCTGCCAAGTGTTTGTAGATCCTTCAACATCATAAGTTGACAGATTCTCATCATCAGCTTGTTGGTTAGGCAGAATAGATAGTCTAGCATGTCGACATAACAAAGAGTATAACGCAAACGTACCGCCTGATTACATGAAAATGATTTATCAAACTCATCAATCCATCTCAACAAAGTAGACATAAAGATTCAAGAATATTTTTTTGAAAGATTTACGTACATTTCACTCTATTCCTATGTATTTACATATATCTAACACCTAAACTTCAATTTTTACATGCATGTCGCCTTACCTATGGTGTAGTTTACTTTCTAAAAGTTAAAATGATAGTATTTTTTTTTATGATATAAAAGATTTGGATGGTATAAATAGAAAAAAAATGAAGTTTAGGAGTACTTGGATATGTAAATTCATATGAATTTGGTAGTATGTATGTAAATGCCCCTACTTTTTCACCGAAAAGCCCGTAAGACGAGAGTTTATATATTACGTTCGTAAGTGAAAATCAAACCCAAGACCTTGGCAATAACTTCCAAGGCCCTTACCAACCAAACTAGCTGGTAGCCACAAAAGATTAGTAGAGATCTACATCAAAAGATTTTTAATTACCAATTCTTTAAATTTTCAAAAGTGAAAAAACATAAATTGTTATGGTGATATCTAAAAGAAATAATGTGTAAAACACATGATTCAACTCACCTTCACCATTGTCATCAGCTGATAAAACAAAGTAAATGTATTTTAATAGTGGAATGAGAGTGAGGGTCCAAAATATGAATGAAAAAACCCCAAAAACTTCCTCATCACTCTCATGAAGACTCAGCTTCCCTGAGAAAGTAGTCTTATAAACATATAAAGGTGAAGTGCTGAGATCACCATACACCACACCCAGGCTTTGGTAAGCAAGTATGAGCACATCCTTGTAAGAAGATTTCTTCCGATTCTGGTTCAGGACAAATAAAAATAATAATAATAAAAAGAAAAAAACAAATTTAAACCATTTTAGTTCAATACAACAACAACAACAACAACAAAGCCTTAATCCCACTACGTGGGGTCGGCTACATGAATCCTTTTTCTCCATTGCGTCCTATTTAGTGTCATATTTTCATTTAGTTCTAGTAAATTAAGATCATATTAAAACCATCTCAGTTCAATAATAAAACAAAATTAAAAAAAAAAAATGGAAGTGCTCATATTTATAAGTTAACACATATATCATCAAAGATAACACTTGCCACTTTATCACACACTGTTTTTTATTAAAGGAAAGAAAAGTTTCTTTTTCAAAACAGAATGAAAAGAAATGAATCTAGAACTCAATCACAAATATCCCACTAAATTCATGTATTTTAAGATATATACCACTCAATTCTTATGTATTTACATATCAAACACATAGACTTCAATTTTTACATACGTAACAGCTTCCCTATGCATGAAAAGATGTATTTCACTTTCTAAAAGTTGAAATGATTGTATTTTTTACACAATATGAAAGATTTGCGTGGTAATAATGTAAAAAAGCAAACTTTAAGTATTATACATGTAAATACTTATGAATTGGGTGATGGCTTATGAATTGGGTGATGTGTATGTAAATGCCCCAAATCTTTATATTTACTTTCATACACTCTAATGTCTAAATCACATCAAAAATGCCATTAACAATACCCTCTTAATTTTCCTGCTAAAATCACTGAAGCAAGATATCACTCCAAAACAAGTTTTTAAAAAACTAAAATCACTGAAGCAAGAAGCACCATCAACTGAATAACGTCAAGGAAAAAAAAATGCAGGGGAGAGCAACCAAAACATGCTTTTTTTTTCACAAAGAACAAAACTTTTTTCAAAATCAAATACAATAAACCCCCCTAAAAAAGAAAATATTTCAATCGCCATTTATGAGTACTTCAAGAAAGATTTCAACTGGTTCGATACAGAGAAAGAACGGAGAAGAAGAAGAAGTATACGAAGGGTTCCGAGCCTTCTTCCGGCGCAAATGGCGGTGGTTTCGAAGAGCTCATGAGGCGGAGGAGAGGGGAGAAAGGTTGGGTTTTGATTTGAGTGGAAGACAGGGAAAGAGGGAAGGGAGGAGTTAAGTAATGGGTGCAGAGAGCGTGGACGTGGAGACGTTCTGGAACGAACTTTAGGAGAACACGTTGTAACTTCCAAGGACGATGCTGCGACGGCAATAAATTTGAAAAATTTGGCACATTTAATTTATCAAATATGCCCAAAATTATTATTATTATTAAAATTTGTCAACGTTTAGGCAACTGTCCTCGGTCCGGCCGTGTACCGACTATAAGTCCGATTCTGATTGGCATAAAAAACTCCTTCGTAGAATCACCCAGAATCGAGTTGAACCGGAGAATCGGCTCCAGTTCTAAGGAATCGTTCTTGTACATACCACCCAATTTTATGTGTTATATATATATATAACGCCTAAACTCTATTTTTTACATTTATATCATAGAAATCACTCATCTCACGTCAAACAATCATTATTACAAAGAAATTCAATTAACATATATGCCAGTCAATTTATTTATTTATATATCTAATATCTGAACTTTATTTATTTTATAGTTATACTGTTGAACTTATCTGTATCACGTAAAATAAATCACTATTTTAATTTTTAAAAAGTGAAATACAAGTTTTCATGAAAAGATAAAATGAGATATGTTAAGATTGAATTTTAGGTGTTAGTTATTTAAGTGCATAGGAATTGAGTAGGATGTAAATCTTATGTTGTTTGATCCTGAATTATTCTTTGTGAACATGACCCGTGAGTTTAGGGATTGAGTGAAGGAGAAGAGAAGAGAAAGAGCGAGTATAGCACGTCAGGGGTTGTCTGTTGAGAGAGTTGGTGAAAGGAACCTTTATTCGTATTTTTTTTTCCTTATTTATAAAGGTGTATTTTGTACACATACATAAAGGAGGGAATGATTATGAAAATTGCTATTAATGCATTAGATATTCTCATTAATTGTATGAATTTTATACTATATCTGTATTACAATATGAGTTTTAGCATGGTGGTAATCGATCGGCTGGCTTTCTTGAATTCAACTGACTGAAACGATCAGATGAGTGGCGACCAAATGATGGATTGGTCAGTCGAGACGCCCAATCGAATGTGCATTTCGTCTGCCACGGTAAATGTGGGTCGATCGATCAGTCGCGTTCAAGAATTCCTACCTACATCCCAGTTGACTGAGGCTATTGGTGTGACATGCTACTTAAATCTCTTGACACAATGTGTCGGTTCATTCCCGACAGTGCATTAGTGTATGATAGGACGGACGCCTTAGTTGTTTGGCCATCATCTGAGTCGTCCGAATGCTTTGAGATTTGTGTTAGCAATCGTTATGTATACATATATATTGTTATTTTTAAATACATTTATCATTTATTAAGTCGTCCGAATGAACCTCCGGTTCAACCTATGAACCTCGAGCTTCTCATTCTACCGGTTCAGTGTCCGATTCAATTTCACAACCTTGAGATTTACGTACATATTACTTAAGTTCTATGTATTTACATATGTAAGGTGGTATAAATGTAAAGAGTAGAGTTTATGTTTTAGATGTGTAAATAAATATAAGTTTAATGGTATGCATAAAAATTGCCCCTTATTATTATTTTTTTTATAACTGTATTTAAAATTTAAAATTTAGCTCAAAATAAGCTTCTATTATTAACATTCTAACCATTTATCAAAGCATTCGTTGACTTTTATCAACCTCACATTTGAGATTTTTTATTTACAATTGAGGGTGTTTGATTAATCTATTAGAAAATTATATTTGAATTTTATGACACAAATTCTAAAAATACATAATAGTCAAGATCTTTAAATTCAAGATTTTTACATATTCATAATAAAGTAACACGTACCTGTATTCATGATGATAAAATTTTATCTTGAAGAAATTTGATCTTGAAGAGATGGAGATTCACTCTCTAATCACTTGAAATATTATGTATTTTCTAATGGAGGGAAATGTACGGGGTGTGTTAGGAAGAGAGATGACTCATTCTCTAAATCATGCTCTATTTAACCACCATCCATCAAAGGATTTTACAAACCAATAAGATTTATGATAATTTAATAAATTAATTGATTTTTTTTTATTATTAAAATCAATGACATAAGTTAGTAACTCTTATTCATTTAAGGGATTATATGAGTTATAAACTTAATATCATAAGTTATCATAAGTTTAGACATAAGTTATGAGTTAAGATAATTAATAACTTAAGTTATCATGAGTTATAAAAATAAATATTATAACTTATCATAAATTATGACATAGGTTATGAGTTAAGAAAATTAATATGTGTACGCACACATACACACCAAAGAGTCGTGTAGCTTATCATAAATCTATGTGTGTGTATGTGTGCGCGCGCGCCACCTACATGACTCTTTGGTGGGCAGAGTTTGTAAGACCATTGGGGTTATGGGTTCGATCTTGCCTATGTGCGGAATGAAATTCCTAGACACATGATACTATGATTTACTATAATTAGAGTGCACTCTAGCAAATTTTTATTAGTTCTTGACGACCTGCTTGCGCCGCTGAGGGAGAAACGATGCGGTGCAAGAGAGAAGGAGACGATAAGGGTGTTGGAGAGGGAGAGGAGACACGGCGAGCGTGATCTTCTATCTGCCAGACAGAGTGGAAGCTGACGGGGGGGATCGCCTGCGTGTAGGACGAAGACGAAGCTGACGAGCCTATGTGTGGGACTAAGCAGACTGATGCATTGCTCATTAGTTGTTTTCTTATTGATTTTTCCCTTGAATGAAATATGAGGAATTACTTTAATTTCCACTTATAATTTATCTAAATTAAACCACTGACATGACTAATATTTTTTACGAGTTAACCCTCTTATAATTCACTAATCTTAATTTTCAAAATAAGTCATTTACATAAATACCACCAAATTTTAATTTTAACTTAGAAAAAGTAAAATGCATATTTTCATGCATAAGAAAATGATATATATGTAAAAACTAAAATTTTAATATTCCCAATTAATGCAGACGCAAACCACAATGATTATAATTACAGTTGACTTCCATTGAATGTGGCGCGCATTTTCTGTCCGGACACCTAACCTACCTCTGGCAGGTTATTCCTGAGTTACTTTCAGGTTATTTCTGGGTTATTTTTATAATAATCCCTCCCGAAATAACCCAGAAATAACCCAAAAATAAAGGCCGCGGGTTATTTCTGGATTATTTCGGGATTATTGAAAATAACCTGAAAATAACTCATGAATACCTTGCGCAACACGTAGAGCTACGTCAGAAGTTCACACAGAAAAATTTTTGTTGAGCGTGACATATTACAAACTACATATATTCCATAAAAAAGGAGGAAAAACAGATGAAATCTAATCAGTCATCAAAAATTTGTGTACGTAAGACGTACGCAAATATTTCTCATCAATTTGGGGGGAGGGGGCACTAATTCATTATTTTCTTATTTCATTTTAAATCAACAAATAAAATTATTATATTTTTAAATTAAGTGAAAATTACAAGAATGTCACATAATTATTATATATTTACATATCTAGCACCTAAAATTTGATAATTATATTTTATTTATATATAGCACTTTAGTGATAAAAATTTATACATGATGAAATATATTTTATTGTTAAGAGGTTATAAGATTGGTATTTGATTTTGATGCGATATTAAATATATTGGGTGCTATACATGTAAATATGTAAGTTTAGGTGTTAAATTTGTAAATATGTAAGAATTGTGTGGTATATTTGTAAATTGCTCTAGAATTAATTATTTCAAAATTTAGCATAATTAAATTTAAGGAAATATTGTATGAAAACATTTCTATAAGAAATCATCAGAATATACATGTTATGAGTGAATATTAATTATTTATATATATATATATATATATATATATATAAATATATATCTCTGAATTTTCTTAGAATTACATTTTTTTAATTTAATAAAAGTATTTATTGAGTCATCCTACCAAATTTCATGTGGACGGAATATTTTTTTCATCTCTCGTTCGAACAACCAACAATCGGGCACCACGTCACCAGACACCTCATTGATGGTTGGTCTGCCGGACGATGGAATATTATTTCCTCTCTCTCTCTCTCTGAAAATTTACATAAATACCACTTAATTTTTATGTATTTACATGTCCATCCCCTAAATTTTGATTTGTACAGATATCACTATACATATGCATAAAAAATGTGTATTTCAAATTTTAAGTCTTTAAATGGCGATCTTTTTGAAACGATACAAAGGAATTGGATTGTTAACTACCTGATTTCAAGCCGGTGTTATATTTGATTTCGAGCCTTCTCGTCATGAAATTGAATCTAGATTGATCCGGCTCAAAGTCGAAATGAACTAGCTCAAATCCTAGTTATTCTGATCCATTCTAGCTCGAAATCGGCTCGATCTGACTCGAAATTCAAACAAAATGGCTCAAATTGAGCTAATTTGGATCCTTTCTAGCTTGAAATCGGATCATAGCTCGTTACATTCTATTTTATTTATCATTACATTATATATATATATATATATATATGTGTAGGTAGGGGTGTAAACGAGCCGAACACGAGCGAGCCATGCTCAGCTCGTTTATATTTCGAGCACAAAATGTGTGTTCTTGTTCGGCTAGTTTGCTTCACTACTCCAACACCAGCGAGCCGAACACGAGCTGTTCACGAACAAAGAGTCCTTTTAACAACCCTTATCATGTAGCCATAAAACAATAAGGATTTGAGCAAGCTTTAAAAATTATTATTTATATTAAAACATCATTTGAATCTAATTTAATAATTTTTATTCAATTTTCTTAAACAATATTTTAATTAATTATAAATCTTTGTAACCATTTTTGTAAAATACTACTTAATAAAATATTACTATATATATATATATATATATATATATATATATATAATGAGTAGTATTTCGAGCCAAAACTAGCCGAACACGAACGAACACATCTTAGTTCGTGTTCGGCTCGTTAATTTATCGAACGAAATTAACGAGCCGAACACGAGCTATTCGTGAACAACAAGCCGTTTTGACTGCCCTATATGTAGGCTTGATATTTAACACGTGAGTGTTCAGTCGAATTACAGCTGGTCATGCAACCGCACGTGTAATCATAGAATTTAACAATCCATTCCGATATATATTATCATATAATTATATCATCCAAAAAACAATATTATCATGATATATTAATTTTAGAAGATTAATGCGGCTAAATTAATTAATTAATAGGTTAGATGAGGTGGATTCAGGCCTCTGCTGGATCAGGATAGGTCAACTTTGACTTCATATTTATTTTTATTCTAATTTATTATTTTAAATTTATGCATAAAAATATGTATTTTATTTTGAATTAAAGTAAGCGATAGTGATATTTTTAGGTGATCAGCTTGGTAAGATCAGTTTGGTTAGCTTGACTGAGTCGTCGCAGCCAGATTCGATTAGCTTCGGGTTGGCAGGACTGACTCGGCTGGTCTTTGTCAATCGATTGGTCTAATTTGACCGTCTAGCCATGATCCCTAGATGAGAACTTCATGTTGGCAGAATGAGATTAAACTATCAAGCAAAGGGTGGACCACAAAAACTCGATAGATAACTAGTTCCTTGACGAGTGAGGCTCTTTGGGATGATTGTCAGGTTCTATTGTATTGCCAGTTCTTGCTCCCCAATGAGGAACCTTTGGGACGTATGTGGATTTCTGGTGATATCGAAGAATTAGTTTCTTTCCTTGAGATGGATCTGTCGAAAGGTAGGTCGATTCCTTTGCTCATCTTTTCTGTAGTAATTAACTTGGGTGATGATCTGTCTGCCCGATCATCCCGAACTTGGATTGTGCTTTTCAACCTTCTCCTGGTTCAATTGACATTTGTCATTTGCTCGGATGACAGCATCCAATTAAATAAGTGGGGTCACTTCACACTTAGTCTCCTGTCAGTGGGTTCTTCTTTATTGTACTTTCTCTTGATCCGCTGGTTCTCTTCTGGATTTGTGCTGACACATTCTTAATATACGCACGCGCGTGCATACACACAGATATATATATATAGGACCTAGCCCAGTTGCGGAATTCACTATTAATTGATGATTATATAAATCCCTTGAATGATGTTACCCACGGTTGTTGACGAGATCTCCATAATTTAAATGAGTTTAATAACTCGTTTAGACTACGTAAATTCAAAATAAAATAGTGGTGCCGGAACGAGAGAATCGTGAGATCCTAACCGGTGTCGCTCTAATCAACTTTAACTCCCGCCCCCCATAATGTTTGAATAATAGCAAAACTTTTCACTTAAACATATCTGGTAAAACATTTTAAACCTTAGAATTTAGGACTGTTACTTCAACGAGGAGCTTGGAGCCAATTTTGTGGGCAGCACGACAAGGAGCTTGGATCGAGCATATTATTATTTTCGTTAGAACAAAGTGGGAGGGAAAATGGGAAATGAACCTTCTCTTCTTACAAGTTATGGGCATTGAATATTTAGATGACATTTTCGAGTACTTTGAGATTTAGGTAAGCTGTCTTAGTCAATGGGATGGCCCACAAATAATGCTAGATTTGATGCTAGCAAGCTAGTCACCATCTTTTCTCATGGAACATTGACAAATATGTCACATAACTCCTATGCATTTACATGCCTACCCCCTAAACTTCTAATTTCTTACATATATATCATCTTAAATGCAAGCAAAAAAGTTCATTTATTTCACTATTTCATTAGTCTATCAATTATAAGAGTATAAGTTTCCTTATATTTTATAAACTATAATTATACTAATATAATTCGTGTCCATTTTGCGTATCTATCCTCAACCTTTAATGAATATGCAACATTTTTCTTGAAGACATTTACATACATACCTTATGCATTTACATTTTGAACCGCTGAACTTTCATATTTACATGCATATTGCTCAAATCTTTAGCAGCACATCAAAAATATTATCATTGATATCTCGTTTTAATGTGGAAAAATATATTTTCATGCATAAATTTATCACAACAAATTTTTACAAGTATAAATATCAAACTTTTGGTGGTAGATATGGAAATACATAAGAATTGTGTGGAATTAAGCCTTAATTAAGGCCCGATTGCGGCTTGTTTGTGAACAATAAAGCATAAATGTTTATTTTTAGGCTCAACGAGCATTGCTTGATATGACCCGTTTATTTTTCCGAACAAGTTGCTTGTATAAAGCTCGACTAAGGCTAGATTAAAGCATAATTAAGGCTCATTTGTTTTGCTAAATGATCTCCTTATTAATAAGCTCAATAGGACCCTATGCGAAATGAGCTTGAAACGAGCTCGAGCTAAGCTGGAACAGTTTAGGTATAATCGAGTTCGAGCTCAAATAGATTCTTAAATCCTCGAATCGAGATCAAGTTGAGCTCAAATAAGCTCTTAATAAACCACCTAGGTAAGGGTTTGATTTGAATCTTCTACCCAAGAGACTAAGAAATGCTTTGAATATTTGATTTATATTTTCTTTGAATATACTTGATTATTCAAATAATATCACGTTTCTAATCTTGTCCCGCACCTTCTTTCAGAAAAGGTAACCCTGCAAGGAAATATACGTAATTCAAAACCCACAACCTCTTAGTAGGAAACTACACTCTCAACCACTAAGTCACGAATAACTGGGTTTGTCCTTACATGCAAACCAATGTTCGAACAAAAATATTGAAAAATAAAATTTGCATCCAATTTTGAAAAGGCAACATTTTTTGCTTGAAATTGAACAACATTTGTATTTTTTTCTTTGCATGAATGCCCCCAAATGTAAAAGTAATACAACAATTATGATTGTCATTAAAGACATGATTATGAATGCCTTTGCTATCATTATGTGTGTGCCATATTTGTAGAATCAAATTACTCACAAATCTAAATTATCTTATGTACTTTCAATTATCTAATTAGAATGCATTAATTACAAGATCCAAAGCAAGGAATTATGATTATTTCAATGTACTCCATCCCATGAGGAAAAAAAGACTTTGTGGCCAATTCATGGATATTTGATGTAAAATATTAATCACAAAATCATACCTTAATTCAAATTATTAAAATATAATTTTTTTTTAATTTGATGTTAAAAATTTCAGCGTTTTAAAATAAATATTATAGTTTTGGTAGTATATATGTATATGCTTATGCTCAAATTGTCTTTCAATCTTACTACTTATAGGTTTATCTAGAGTTATTTGCATGAATCCAATCTATCTTGGCTAATTAAATAAAATATTTCATTTTCAATATATTATAATTTTATTAAATCTATCTTTATTATTAACCTAACATATGAATTTGTTTTAGTATTTAATGATGAATATGACTATTTAGTTTAAATGCAATAAATCATAATCATTATGTGCACACATAATCATACATTATATGTAAAGATAGTACTAAATATCATTTTTCATGCATGTAATAAGTCATAGCATTTACATAGTTTCCATGATATATGGGAATGTGAACTCCACTTTATTGATATTATCATATGCTCATAGTGTTTATGTTTAAACATATATTTAATTAGACAGACATGTCACATGATAACTTTATTATGACCCTACATGCACACATGTGAAATAAACATAACTATTAATGCCATTACATTGTATTAGTGAAATCTATTTTGTAGGGATTCATTCAGAGAAATAATTAATTAGACATTTACACATCTTTTTTGCCATCTCTTATTGCATGTACCATATTTTCTATCTTACATTGATTGCTTGGTACTAAATCAAATGTCTTGGGTTTCTTATGATGATGAATAGAATCATAGTGTTCCACATCACTCAGATTGAGCAGGAATCATATTGGCTTATCATGTTAAATATAGACACAAGACTTTAAGCCTATCATCATTGATTTATGAGATGTTCTATAACTTTTGTCCTCTATAAATCTCATCAGATCTCTATTTTAAATTTGATTTGATCAAATATATATGAATGTAACTAAGCTTGAGAGCTTGTTTCACCAAAAAACCATAGCCTTGATAAGTAAAATGTCTTATTTGTAGTCATCAAGACATCGTTGAAACCCGAATAAAGACATGGCGTCGCCACAACTTATACCGACAACCTACTAACATATCCTGACCCTACTACAACATGCACCCATGTTTCAACCAATGACATGTATCCTCACATTGAATCAATAGAGATCTACAATTATAACGTGTTTCATTTCGTGTATATGACTACACATCTGCTACCGGGTCTATCTTCATCATCAACATCTCAACTATTAATACACCCATATGGTATTTATACAAACTGCTCCCTGAAAAAAACTATAACAATATATCTTCAAAGACAATCATTTAAATTGCATAAAGTTAATTGATGAATAAAAAATCTTGAAGCTTATTAATCTCTAAATCTCACCTACATCAAATTTATGCTTCTGCACCCTGACATTTCATTTTTTTCTTAAAAAAGAAAAAAAGAATCACAGATGCCTCAAAGAATGAGCAATCACAATTGCAATCAAGCACAGAACAAATTCTGATTTTACACCAAATAATGTCTTTCATAAAAACCTGTTATTTGGTCAGCAACAGCCCACATTATAGCTTGTCCAGGTGGAATTCTCATCAACCTTGGAAGCAATCCTTTCCAGAGTGAAAACACCCCCTCTTCAGCAGCTATAGTTCTAATCGCATGAAACATTCCCTTATATTTCAACTCACCACCAGACTTGCTCTGAGCCATCAACCTCGTCTTCACGACGTCGAAAGGACCGGTACAGATCGGCCCGCAGGTTCCCGCTAAGAATCCTGAAATCATCGATTGCCATGGCTGGAGAACCTTTCCGTCTCCCTCGTTTTTCGTCCAGAGGATTATGTCGAAGGCGTTTTTCGCCGTGAACATGGCGGCTTGGTTTATTCCATTGCGCATTACGGTCGGCGTTGCTCCGGCCCAGAGACCTAAGATACCTTCTTCGACGATTATTGTTCGAGCACAATGGATCGGCCCTTTGTACTTTAGAAGCTCTGGGCTTAATCCTCGTTGTTGTTGTAATCTGATTTTTACCACCTGTATTTCTAGTTTGATCAGTTCATTATAACGATTTAAATTTCTGTGGCAGTGCATACCAAGAAAATTCTCAGGTATTTACCTAACACCAAAACCTTACGTTTTACATTTATACCACCCAAATCTCTCGCATCGCCATCAAAATATCACCATTTTAACTTTTCATGCCTAGGTAAGGTGGTATGTAAAAAGTGGAGTTTATGTGTTAGATATGTAAATGCATAGGAATTGAGAGGAATGTAAATCTTCCAATATAAAATAAAATGTAGTTACTCAGAATAAGACTTAAGAGGTAAGTTGTACAAATGAGTTACCAACTGGATTGATATCTTTCTATAGAATTCATTCAATTCTTGATTCAATTATGAATATGCTTCCCTACTAAATTTATAACGGCTAAAACTCTATTTTAGCTACATGAGCTTAATTTGAACTTTTGCACTTAGTTTTGATTATGATAATTGCACATATAAACGTCTTAATAATTAAAACTTAATAATGGACTATTATAGATTTCTAGTGCTTGAGATTGAGAAATTTAATCAAAAGGCTCGTGCTACACTTCGTGTTGAATGCTCTTCATCCATTTAAAGACGTGTGCATTTATGCTGGCTAACATAATTTTGTTAGGTTTTACGACCTCAATTGATGAAACTTCTATGCAAAATGCACATACATAGCACACAATTCTTATATATTTATATATCTAAATCCCAAATTTTCATATTACATTAATAACACTTCGGTGTCATAAAGATATATACATGAAAATACTTCAAAAAGGAGTAATAGTTGTATTTTTGATGTGATGTTGAATCTTAAGTTCGAACAGAAAGAGGACTGACCAAGTATTTTACTATTTTAATTAGATTACATCAGAGATCGGCTTTAAGCCCATGTTTTGCTTTAGTTATGGATGCTTTTATTGGACATGCACAGAAGAATGTACCTTGGTGTATATTTGTCGCTGATGATATCCTTCTTGTGGATGAGACTAGAGAAATAGTTCTCAAAAAACTTGAATTATGGAGATCTACATTAGAGTCTAAAGACCTTCATTTGAGTAAATCTAAAACTGAATACATGGAAATCTAAAACAATCTAAAACTGAATACATGGAATGTAATTTTAGTAGTAGTAGCTCTAGTGGCAGAGTTGCAACTATGGGTAATCAAATTATTAAAAGGTGTGAAAGTTTTAAATATCTCAGGTCTATTGTTCAAAGTGATAATGTTGTAGATGGGACTATTATTAGTATAATTCAAGTTGGTTGGTTGAAGTGGAGGAATACATCGGGCATGTTGTGTGATAGAAAAATACGGCTTAGACTTAAAGGAAAAGCTTATAAGATGGTGGTGAGACTTGCAATGCTCTATGGTGCAAAATATTGGTCTTTAAAAGAGAAGCATAAAACAAAGTTAATTGTTGCTGAGATGAGAATGCTTAGGTGGATCGATGGCTTGATAATTAGAGACAAAATGTGAAATGAATATATTCGTGATAGGGTTTGTATAGCTCCAGTGGCGAACAATATTAAAGAGAATTGTCTTAGATGGTTTGCACATTAAATATCGACTACTGGGTGTCCTGTAATTCTATTAGAAGAGTAGAGGTTTTAGATTCAACTTATGTTAAGAAAGGCAGAGGTAGGCCTAAAAAGACCTGGGCATATTGTACAAAAAATGAACTTAATCTATTAGAACTAAATGATAATATGAATAAAAAAAGAACTTAATATATTAGAATTAAATGATAATATGACACTCAATAGGATGCAATGGAGAAAAAGGATTCATGTAATCGTATGTGGGATGAAGGTTTGTTGTTGTTGCTGTTAAATCTTTGAGTGTTATACATATATATATATGAAACTTTAGGTGTTAGATATGTAAACGTATGAGAATTGTGACATGCGTAAATGCCCAAACTTTTATAGATCCTTGAGGTAATTCTAAATGGGCCACAACTTAAGTTAATACCAAATGTTGTATGTAGCTCTCTTAATTTAGTCATAAATTCACCAAGTGGTTTATTTCTGATGTGCTGAAATATTCCAAGATTCATTGCTCCCCATTTACAAAATAATAATAATAACAATATTAGAAAATACATGATCATCATCCTAGTTCTTAGATTATCAAATTTCTCAAAGATTTTTGATATTGCCATTGAAAAATACTAAACCAACAAGGTCACGAAGTAGCATAGGTTAATGAAAACTAACTTCTAAAAAGGAATACAAGACCTAAAATCATGAATTTTTGGTTTTCTTCAAACAATTATAAACAAAAGACATTATTTAGTAACACCAGATGTTTGTGTTGCATTCTAATTATAAGTGCTTGAAGTATCTACACAGAATACTGAATTATAGAATGTTATGATGCCTTAAGTTGAATGAATTTTCTGTTAATTATTATTTATATTAGCAGCATTTACATACATACCACACAATTCTTATGTATTTACGTTCTAAAACTTGAACTCTAATATTTACATTCATAACACTCAAATCTTTAACATCACATCAAAAATGCCAATTTCATCAGCATTTGAAAAGTTAAATGCAACTTTTTATGTGTAGATTTATTTTTAAAAATGTAAATATCAAAATCTAGGTGTTAGAAATGTAAATCCATAAGAATTGTGTGGTAAATATGTAAAATTCCCTTTACATTACGGATACCAAGATTTAATAGATCAAAGAATTAAAACCTCTCAAATCCTTTCATTCCATGTTTCATTCTCCTAAAGAAATCGTAGCAAGAGAGCATTATCGGTAATTAAGGGATACGCAAATACGGGTTCTTTGTCATGCATCCCTCACATTTCACTGCATCAATTTCATATGGTCTCATGGACAAATATAAATGGTTTACATAAAGGAGTTAACTTTTTTAATGTCTAATTGGAGATTATTTAAGCATATAAGATTAAATGCTTCCAACTGCAGTGTTCTCTTGAAATAATTGTGTTAATCATACTAATAAGAAAGCTCTTTTAGAAGTTTCTATGCCAACAACTTAGAAAATTTACAAATCTCCTTAACATAAATCATATCCTCAATCCATGCATCTTTAACTGAGCATACATGTAAACTACATGTTGATATAAAACTGTAAAATACTAAATCATGTGAGAAATATAAAATAAAACCTGAAGTTTATAGAAGAAAGGGGAATGTAATGAAGGCAATTTTGTACTAGTTATAATTGCATCAGCGAGCTTTCCACAGCATATATTCAAAAATCTACATACAGAAAGGTTTGGTAATTAGATTCTTACAGAAACTAGTTCAAATGTCTATTTAATTGGTTTTACACAATAATTTAATTGTAGTTTTGCATTTAACATTAAATATACATTACTACTTGGAGACAATTTTGGCATGTTGGTGCCACTATGTACTTTTATTGGGGGCATTTACGTATATAGCAAATATTTCTTATGTATTTACAAATCTCACAACTAAACTTTTATATTTACACATATAGCACTCAAATTTTTAATATCACATAAAAAAGGCACTATTACTACCTTTTAAAAGTCAAAGACACCTTTTCTTGTATAGGTTAAAGCACCAAAGTGCTGTGCATGTGAATATAAAACTCAGGTGCGAGATTGTAAATACATAACTGCGTGCCACCTATGTCAATTTCCTTTTTTTTTAAGGTAAATACATAACTTCTGCTTCTAAGAATAATGGGGCTCTCTCTATACTTTTTCTATCATTACTGCTCAGTTAAGAAATGCCGAGTTGATCCACTGCTGATAAAAAAACCACAAGGGCAGTTGGAACACATCCGATTAGAAAAATTAACCTCATAAAAATTTTGCATCACATATGAAGACTTGTTCAGAATGTTGTCAGATAAATGTAAGAGTTCCATAGTCCTAAATCTCTGAAATATTTCCCATAATTAAAGAATTAATACATTATCCATTGTTGATCCTCTAAGAAATTAGAATTTGGATGATCATATAAACAATTTTGATAAGCTCAAGAATAAAGATATTAAGGATCTCGATAAGGAAAACCGAAGTGAAGGCGCGACATCTGCTCCTAAAATTCCTAATAAATAAAGATATGCAAAAATCATCCTCAGGTCTTAATTAAAGCTGATCCATCAAAAGAGGTAAGAATTAGAGGTACTCTAATAAATGAATTAGATCATTGCGGCTCTATTTTTAAAATAAAATACAAGGAAATCAATAAAGCTATGCTTGCTAAATTATGGATGTTATGAAAGGCAAACTAAATCAGTTCATTAAAAAAGTGGTCTAGAAACTGTGGAAAAGAACAAGCATAATAATGATAGGAAGATTTACACAGATCCCACTCTATTCCTTCGGATTTACATATCTAACACCTAAGCTCAATTTTTTACATACATATCATCTTACTTATGTATGAAGAGGTGTATTTCACTTTTTAAAAGATAAAAAATTTGTATGTTTTATGTGATATGAAAGATTTGAGAGATATAAATGTATAAAGCAAAATTAAGGTGTTATACATGTAAATACACAGGAATTGGGTGGAATGTATGCAAATGCACCATAATTAAATTATGAATATTAACAACCAAGTTAGGCAAGTCGCCGAAAATTTTAGCCAAGTAGAGGGAAGGAATTTTACAAAATTTTTTGACCAGTAGCAGAAAACAAGTAATTAGACTACTCTTAGAACGATCAAAACTATTTAGGATAATTGTAAACAGTGTTTGCCTATACAGTTTTATTGACAAGGAGAGATTAAACTACTCTTACATTATGCTTTTGTTCAAGGATTTAAACTGTCATTTAGTTATAAAGAGTGTCTATCTAAATAGTTCTATTGGCGAAAATAATTTAGTTGAACAACCTGGTAGATTTAAAAATGAATGACTAGCCATTTTTTAAAGCTTAAAAATGCATTTTATGGTTTGAAGGAAGCTTCTAAAGCAAGATTAAGTAATTTTCTAATTGAGAATGGTTCTTTAAAAAACCTCACACTGCTC